GACAGACAATCCCTCGCCAATATGCGCTTCTGCACTGCATAGCTGCAAAAACGCGTAAAAATTTGTTGACAGAAGAGCGGACGTTATTTGGGGGAGGGAGGTGTTTACTGACCTGGATTCTTCTTAAGTATCAAGTCTCTGGGAAAAAAGCCGAATTTGCAAGCAATAAAACAAAAATCAGAAGTTGTTAAGGGAGAATGCTTACGGACCTGGTATTTCTTTGACAAATCCTTAAAAAAAACCCTACAAATCCTTAAAAAACCCTATAAATTCTACAAATACAATTCCTTAAAAAAATACAAAATCAGTAGATATCAACGGCGTAGCAACTTAAGCAGTCTTCGACGAATAAAACTAAGTGTCCTTGAATTCGCAAGGTCAGAAAAAATTTCCTGCAACCAAAAAGGTATCATTTCTAGAGCAACCATGAAAACAAAACAAAAAAGTCGGCCGTAAAAACCGGATCTGCGAAGGCCATCAAGCCAGCAGGGGAATACAGTGCAAAGAAACAGCCATCCATTATAAAAATCCCCTTATAAAACTTGCAAAAACATTAAGATCAACAATACCAAGACCGTCCGAACAATCGGCGTGCGGGACCTGCATATCTACCAAGAACACCAAAACCACCCGGACAATCAGTGTGGAAATCCCATGTTTGTGATGTTACTGGAATGCTCCCATCCTTCTTAATCAGGTCTTACGCAACTAGTAGCAAGCACATCTTGAACATGGCGAGCCGGAAATTAATGATTCCGCACCTCCGTGCAACTTATGATTCTCTCCATGTACAGCTAAGGAATGAAACAGAGACTGCATCACAATATATTCATCATAATCTGTTTCATCCCTTAGTTGAACAGATGTACCTTCTTTGGTACTGGTAAATACTTTATTTAATCCCAACAACTTGCTATGTACAACAAAATCATTCAATTAGTAAAAAATAAGAAAAAATAAAAAAATGAGAAAACAACTCGTACGGATAAAAAAATGCAAGAAATAGGTTAATGAGCTCAAAACCGTGGCATCCAATAAAGCAATAATACATCTAAAAACGTTGGCATGTCTAACAAACCAGGCAATTAAAGCTACTTCAACTTACTCTCAATCAATCCACAAAAGAAGGAACCATCAATTTGTGGACCTTATTTACGATCACAGGCTAAACATCCCAGTTGCTTTCACCACTCACATATTCAGGAAGACGGAAGGTTTTTGTTGATATGAAAACTAAAAGATTCTTTTTGATCACTATATTAATTTCGGGTACTAGCTGAAAATCTGCAATTCAAGGGTAGAGAGGCCTGGCACCCCACTAATATCACTAACATGGGATACACACACACACACATACACACACTGATTGACCAGGCGGTTCTGGTAAATTTGAAGTAGTCTTTATGTTGTACATGGGTAGGGAACAGTTCCTTAAAATTTCAGCTTTCCAGCTTATCTGGTCTCTGATTTAGAAATTTTCACGTCAAGAATCTCGCAGTATATTAAGAAAAACAACTGCTGCACGAAACGACTTGCTATATTCAGTGATACAATGCAAAAATATCAAAACATGCGCAGAAACAAGCGAGCTCTATTATGCTTCTAGCGCCTAATCATGTAAAATTGATCGGTCACAATCAAGTTCGTTCCTTATCATCAACAAATGTCACTTCGCTCAAAATAAGAATTTTAGAAGGTAATGGGTAAGGTTGTGGACTGAGTACAGTGAATGTTCGTCGAGCCATATCCACACCTGTGATTACCAAAAAGCCAAACACATTGGTTGTCAACACTGTCTGATCAATCGCTGCACTCATCGACAGCGATACCAAATGATGTAGAAAATCCACGGACGGTTCCAGTCGTACCACCTGGAACATGTCGTACAGAAATTTCGAGCAAATCCGAGTTTATTCACCTCACCGTCTATCACGGAAAACCCGCGAAAAGCCAGCCAAGAAGCCGCCACAATGAAAAAGAGACAAAAAGAAAGGTGTAATTCGCTTTTAAAGGCAGTAGATGCACTGCCAGGCTGAAACCGGAGCCCAAGGACCGGTGGCGCAGTGGTAACGCGTTGCGTCTGGATGAATAGAGAAGTGGTTCGATGCCCTGCCAAATCAGAACAATTTTTGAGAGAGTGTTTCGTCCACGACACCACCTCACACAAAAAACATGAAAAAAATTAGTTAGAATGAAGTCGATCAAATATTCCTGTATTTACTCTTTCCAAAAGGTAGGGAAGCACAGAAGCAGCCTGAGTTTTATCAAATACCAACAGCAACCACCCACTGGTAAAAATGTCTATCGATTATCAGCAAGAGCAGCGATACAGGAAACACAAAAATACCTTAGTTCGATGATCCTCAATTTTCATACCAAACGGTAAACATTCTATCGGTAATCGTTCACCGCCAATTTTGCAAATCTGCACTTCATCAAATGCAATTTCGAATGTATGAGGATAAAGGGGTGCCGCACGAGTACCATAAAAGTACTGAAATGAAACAATACATTTGCTTAACATAATTTTAGAAAATTGACGCCTGAGCAGCAAATGCCATAAATTTCGACCAACTGCGGTCACTAAGTGGTCGAATGGTTACAGATCACTTTAAATTGCCAGGCCAAGGACAGTCCGAAAGATCATTTGTATAACAATTCGTCGTATAAAAAAATGAAACGACAGATGTTAAGGCACAGATGACTCCAGGTTCTCGACCTCTTCCAGTTTCCTGCCCAGGGATATTCATTGTTTATATTTCTAACACTTCTGAAATAGTGAAATTTCATTCCCTCCCCCCCC